GACAGCATTTGCATGTGTGTGTAAAAACCATGATGATTATCTCTTAACTACAGTATTATATAAAAAAAAATGACAGGGCATTAAACCTCACAGTCCATGACAGCCACTCTCTCACCACCCTGCAAAGAAATCTCCATGCAAACCATACATAAACACTACCTTCAATCCTCTACAAGTAGCAAGAATGAAATCTGCATCTGACACAAACCATCAACGATTCCTTGTGACAGTACGGATCTTATTTAGAGTAAATGACATTAAATTTACCTGGCTGTGACAGGTATACAACAGTACAATCCTTTGATCTGACACTGTAAATCTATATAACCTGGTTATATATATAGTGAAAAAATACATTTGGGAAATATCTGGCTGACTAAAATCGGATCATCTCCGTTTAAAGTTTGACTCAAACCTCTCTCACGCTTACAATGACTAAATCAGAAATCTCAGATGTCTTGAAGACAAGGAAACGGTTTAAAGAACAAATATAACCAGCATTTAACTACAATCCCCAATAAAACATTGGAAATAAGATTTACTACCTCTCATTTCTAGAAGCCAAAGGTCCAAAAAAATGTCTTAGATTGAAAAGAAAGTGTACTGGTCATGAGAAGAGAGTGAACTAATAAATCACCCTTTGGAGTGGCTTGATTTGTAATGTCATTATGTAATATAATACTCATTGTGTATTTTTTTTAATGACACTGGGAGTGGACACAGATTTCATAAAAGTGGCATGCTATGCAGGTTTGTCGTCCCATCCCATATTCGTTGGCACAACATATACAATTAAAGAATCTGAAAACTGGCTCTTGAAGGAGATTCAAATGCCCTGGTTGCCCTTACCTTCAATGGCAATGACGTGCTCTCGGATCTGGTTCTGCAGCAGTGGATCCTCCACCCGCTCCAGCAGCTCGTAGATGGAGTAGATGTTCGGATGGACGGACTCGAACCTCTGGATCTCAGCTCTGATCGCCGCTGAGTTCGCCAGGTGCTGCTGATAATTCATGTTTGCAATGTGATCTCTTCCAATGGAACCCGATATGCAATTATCTAAAGAGAGTGTTTGCAGGTGATTTAGGGACACTGATGTGCTGCAAACACAGGAGTGAGATCAGATGTCCACATGAGGTCTGAGGTCAGCTCTTAAAGATTTTGGTTAAAATAAACACTGCAAATGATCCCAAATGTACACTGGTTATATAGGATGTTATCACAGATGGCAGCAAAACTAACTAATGATTAGGCGTTAAACCACCTAACGTTAACACTTCATGCGAGACTAACATCTAGCAGCAGCGGCTTAGATATCAGTGCATGTAATATTTGAGTAATATGTGTACTACAACAGAAGCCCAGACGCTGGAGGGAGAGCTGCAGCTGTCCGGATTGGAAATCCCAGGATACCGTCATATACCCCATATCCTCGTAAATACAGCATAAAACACAGAAGCTCCAACAAATCACCACGCATCGTCATTACGGACTATAATAGGCAAGTGAAGGCCATCTCAGGTCTACAGTCCAAGGCGAGAAGAGTCCACATGGTCGACTCCGGCTGTGTGTTTCATACACACTGACCAGTTTCAGCGGCAAAAATTGGTGAGACGAAGATAAATTATTAAAACTCAAACTCGCCGAGAAACTACAGTTCGCACAAACGAGCTGGACACGGTATGTCTGCTGTATTCCCAGCACAGTCAACTCGCTCTCTCCTGTTGTTCACTTCGGCTCATGCTGACATTACAACCAATGAAATACTTTCTGCGGTCTCGATGGGAAACCACAAAACCATTGAGGTGCGCCAACCTCAGCGAGATACTATCGCCGGGGTTTTCGGGTATCTCTCTTGTTTTATCCGCAAAGATGGGTGCATTCCCTTTTCTCCCGCACTGAGGTCCGTCCCGTCTGTATCCTCTCAAACATCATTGCGCCTGCTCCTTCCTTTGGACGCTTCCTACTGGAAAAACGTCGGCGCTTCGGAGCCGTCGTCAAGGTCATAGCTGCGCTAATTTTGCGCAGTCCGTTGTTCTAAAAACGCATACAGGTCGCCACACACTGGATGGGGGCGCTATAGGGTGCCCTTATCTTACCCGGCCTGAACACATGTGTTGTCTGATTAGTGGACCCTGTAAACCATAAGAATGATTGGTCTCAGTTCTGCGAAACACTCGGATATGACCTCAGAGTCTTATGATAACATGGGTGTGATCATCCAATAAAGGTTAAACATATAGGTTTTAACTGGTGATCTGACATGGGCTTATAGGAAGAATACCCTGTTTTGGGGAATGGCAATGTCCAAAATCCTTGTCCTTGTGGGGACATTTTTTGGTAAACGGCTTAAAAATTATACTAAATGTAAAAATGCAGAAAGTTTTCTGTGATGGTAGGTTTAGGGGTATATAGGGTTAGGGTATTTAATTTAATATACTGTTTGTACTGTAAAAATAAAATACTAAAGCAATTAAACTGTGTTTATAACACAGACAAAGCAGAATTCAGACAAAGCAGAATTCCAGTATAAGACAGAATTCCAGTATCTGAAAGGTAAATTTATTCAATGACTTAGGCATATGATTATACATATTTATTATTTTAATTGAAGATATGTTATAGCAATTAAATTGGATGATTTCTCTCATTTAACCTATAGTTTTAATAGTAAAGACATCTAAAATATATCTAACTCATTGATTCACTGAATAATAACCCTAATTACAGTAAATATTCAATAAAAATAACACTTTAGGATTGTAATTATTGCTGTATTTTACATATACATTATTGTTTTTATTATATATATTTGTTTGTTTTTGTGTTTTTTCTTTCATTTATTTGTTGCCCTTATCAAAATAAATATACTTCAAGTTCATTTTATTAAGTAAAGTTCAAGAATATATTTAAGTAGGCCCTATGTATTAAGAATAGCCTATACTAATATAAATGTATACTTGTAGGCAGAGGCGGACAGAGTACAGAGCTTTGTTACTTGAGTAAAAGTACAGATACCCCTTGCTAAATTTTACTCAAGTACAAGTAAAAGTACTACATTCAGATGTCTACTTAAGTAAAAGTACTAAAGTACTTGTTTTTAAAAGTACTTGAGTATCAAGAGTACAAGAGTAGATTTTCTAAATATTGCATTACTAATCTACTGCCACAGTGCTTACATTTATGCACAGAAACGTCCTACATGGAGTTATGAAAAATGTTAATGTTAATACCTTGGAGAATGTAAAAGGAATTGAAAGTAAAATCAAGTCATTTTCATCTTTTTACCATGTTGCTTTATTTAATTTAATTAAATTTTTGGGGGGTCCCATCTTTAAATGCGGGGACAACACACACACACACACACACACACACACAACACATGTAAGGGTGGCGCTGCCAATAAAGCACCTAAAAGCTGTCACAAAGAACCGCCAAAAGGAATGATTATGAATATGTAAAATATAGCAAGGAGATATTTTAATTGTTTATCAATAAACACTTGTTAATAAACAAGTGTTTTCTTTGTCAGTGTCGGCTAGATGAAGTTGATGATGCTGACTCGCGATCTTCAGTAGTGAACGCGCCAGAGAGAAATGCACATTTCATACAGATTACATAAGCAGAGAGCAGTCTGTCGTCTGTTTTCTTTTGTTTTGAATTTTTCTGTTTAAAAGTAGACATGTCTGTGAGAGGCAAGTAGGCTACCTTATACACTGTGTTTCGGTTCATTTATGAGACGAGATCCAGTTCACGTGCCGGCGCCTCCGTTTCTTATCTATCGTCTGCTATTTACTTCTTATTTATTAAACCCAGGCAATTGGTTGATGAAACATTGATTCAAATTAAGATACAATTAATGCAAAACGAAATTCAGGTTAAAGAAAGGTTTTGTGTTTTCTGTTTGATGTCTCTGTGAAAGTTTTAAAGCATTTTTTATGCCGCTTTCAGAGCGCTCACGTCCGTAACGGAGAACACGTCCATAACATCGTTTTTTCCTCATAAATGCAAACAAGAAAAATTAAATAAAATAAATATTTTATGTACTGTGGAGACTGAGCGCCAACCCTTCTTCATTCGCTGGGTAGTAGCCTACTTTGGTTTGCGCAGTGTAATTCACATAATCATTAAAAATATATTTTGCCTCCTAAAGTTTTTTTTTTAAGAAATCAGAAATCCCTCGTGACTACGCCACTGCCACATTTGAACCTGACTGTGTTAAACACACCACATACTCAAGAACATCAAACCAAATGCTTGGCTTACATTAATGTGTAATATAAAATCTGACCATGGAGTTGACTTTGGCGGAAAGCTGAAAGTGATTGCTGATAGGCTGTCCCAATCAGTGGCGCCTGCACAATCCAATCACGTTTGAGAGGGAAACAACAAATTGAGGGTTTCCGAGATTTTTCTTTACTTTTTTTTTTTTTTTACTCGGGTACTCACGGTTATGGATAGAAATGTATTGGAGTAAAGAGTACAATATTTGCCTCTCAAATGTACTTGAGTAAAGTCATGAGTACTCCCCAAAAATTATACTCGAGTAAAGTACAGATCCCTCAAAATTGTACTTAAGTACTGTACTCAAGTAAATGTACTCCGTTACTGTCCGGCTCTGCTTGTAGGTTTACTATATCAATACTAGCCAACTTGGGACTAAATTGGCTAAAATTGTTTGTACTTTTATATTGTATAAAAGTATACTTTATACTTTGTAACCATAGTAAACCTTGAGTACACAACAACTAAGTTTTTTGTTTGTAACGTCCGCAATTACCTAGTTACCGGGTAGCACATTTTTTTAATTTCAAATATATTTCTGAGAAGTAACAAAGTATATACATAAAAAGTCTGAAACAGCCATTCATTGTGTTGAGATAAGCTTTTGAGATATTGTACTATATGCTCAAGAGAAAGAATTAAGATGGGGATGGGTGTCATCTTGCCTCAAGGTCATCTTACCCCATCTTACCCTGGTCTCGATAATAAAAACATTTTTTTCTCATTTTCACAAAATGTGTAATTTATTTATAATAAATGGGATACTTTAAGACCTTTAATAACTTTAAATGTTCTTGTCCATACTCTGAACAAATGCAAACATACTGGATTTATTGAACAGAAAAAAAACCTTTTCAGTGCCATCTGTATCTAATTCTCACTGTTGGTAAATGTCTGGCACATCTGAATTCTATTAGCCTCCATTTTACTCAATGGCCTCTTCTATCCTGATTCCATCCACCAGTAGGGAATGAACTATTCCATTCCGTTTCCTTCCACTAGTTGTTGCTTTTATGCAGCATTCACGGTTCCCCACTGCAAAGTGTGTCTCCGTTCCATTCTCGGTAAACTCCCCCTGCACACAGAAATCAATATAAACATAGGCCTGGAACTAAATAAGAACAAGTCATTGGAATACTGTGCAATGATTAAGATGGTGTTTCATATTTCCACAGTGGTCACTGGTCACACAACTGCTCCATTAGCTGACAAGACTCAGACTTAACGGACCAAAGTGTATCTTTCATACATCTAAAGGCCTGTGATAAAAGTTCTCACCGTGGTCTCCATTTTCTGTCCATTGCACCATACATCCATAGTGTCTTTCTCTAGTGAAACAGGAAAAAAAACACAAAATGCTTTGCTAATGTTGTCGTAATTGTCTTAACAGAGATTACAGTTAAACTGTCTGATGCCTGCCAAATCAAACAAGCAAATTAGAGGATCACTTTTCCGTGCTCTTAGTACTGCATGCGCACTATAGTTTGGGTTTTCAAACTGATGCTTCAGACCCCCACATATGTGACCCGATCTGGCGAAATGAGTCGGAAGTCGCAACGTTCTATTTTAAGATATGGGCCGATTATGTGGAAAAACAATGAAATAATAGATTTTTTTTTTTTTTGCTAATTTCAAAGAACAGACATTCAAAAATAATCTCCCAAAGTTTCGTAGTCCAGATAATTGAGTAAAGGTATCTAAATTACTATTAAAGTTTACAAAGTTTTACTAAATTCGCTGGAAATGAACATTGCTTTTCTCAACTCCTATCGCGTCACCTCTGAGCATTTCCCGGGTATCCCCTGAAACGTCACTATCTCTGCTCTTTAAATGGTGTTACACGTTGTATAGAACCAATCAAAAAGCTTAGAAATGTACACCAACGCTGATCATTTGTCGATGGGAAGCCGTTTCGACTGACCGGCACGCGATTGGTCCAGCCACCCTCCTGTCAGACTCGCAGCGAGCGCTCTGTGTAATAAACAAGCTAGCAGATCTCCTCAGAAAGATTAAATATTATTAATTTGAGAAATGTCGCTGTCAAAAGCGAGCAAAGTTGCCAAAGCGTCATCAAGCCCCCTGGCCATTGCACACTGAGTCCGCGTTTTTTTCATATGCGTTTTTTCGTATTGATTCGGTGGCTCCGAATTGTCAAAACACCATTCAAACTGCTTGCTATACGGATGCGAAAAACTTACGATTGTTTTTATATAACGGATGAAAGTGTCGTAGTGTGCACGCGTGATTGACATAACGTGATTGACAAATGTGAATGAGTGTAGCTATTTATCTGCAAGGAGAATTCATTAATGTGTTTAATTAACCCAATATTTGTTGGTATCTCTGTTATGAATTTGTTATGCTGTTATTGTCAACTAGCCTACAGATATAAATTGCATAGACTAGCATTATTTGATCTGTTTCCTTGTCTCTCTGCCTCTCACTTTCTCTCCCACTCACTCACACACACACACACACACACACACACACACACACACACACACACACACACACACACACACACACACACACACACACACACACACACACACACACACACACACACACACACACACACACACACACACACACTCTCTCTCTCTCTCAAGCAATGTAGCACCTCTGTTCAATCTTTCTGATTTTAGTACATTTTTGTAAAAGGTAGGCCTACTGTTAAATTATTTATTCAAATAAAAACTTTAAAATAATTTGAGCTTCAGCCTGGTTTAATAGCATTTATATATTAATGTCTTTGGTCAAATTAAGCTGTAAAATAAATAGTTTATCCCTTTAAATGTAATGGATTTTGAAAGATATCAACAAAAAACGGGCAAAAAACTTTAAAAGCGATTTTCTCAGGTTTTCAATTGGAAAAAGAGGGCAGACGACCATACTTCAAATGTGTATATCTTTACAACCATTCAAGGTATGACTTTGACTAGGATATCAATTGAAAGCTTAAGGTCTCCTCTTTCCATTAATACCAAAATCTCAATTTTTAAATTTGGGTCACTGTGACTCATTTTGCTGGATCAGGTCACATATGATGAGCCCCTTGTGAAAACCCTCCTTCCTAAAATATAAAGTATACATTTTCATGTAAAAAAGGCCTATTTGTACTGTTCAATAAGTTGACCTTTTTTTTTATCTGCTGACCCTCTAATTTGAAAACCCCTGATTATCTTCATACACTGTGGATATGAATGACCTTGAGAAGAATAAGGACTTTCAGAAAAATTTAAAAAACATCAGAAATCAAGAGGGATGTTTTCGCTGTGAATCTTACCTAGAACTATCCTGTAATCAGCATCATCCAGTTTCAGCACCCATGTTTTGGAAATCTTTGATCGGTTGTCCAAAAATGTTTTGAGACTTTTTCCGTTGATCTCCAGTGTGTACTCATAGGAAAACCCAGTGACCGCCTCAATATGTATGGTTGCTTTTGTGTCTGTATTCCCAACAGGGAATGTTTCTTTGCCCACCAGTTTGAACAGCCAATCCCTCCTTATCACCTCCTTAAAAAACAAGACTTGATAAGACTTATTATAATTATTTGATATGATCTCATTCATCTTTATATTAGATATTATCTTATATTATCATCTAAATGAATAAATTCAAGATAAAAATATTATATACCGTAAATATAAAAACTTGAATCAAAATGAAAATATAGAAAACATTAATAGGGCTACATGTTCTGCTTCTGGTTTTATATACTCATCTCTGTATTCTATAAATTTTTAATTTCATTCAAGTTTTTTTCATTAATGTTTTTATATTATATAGTTTTTGTGTAATATAGGCTATATATACACACACTCATATCATTATGACAATAATATAACACAATGCTATAGCATAGCCTATAGTATAATAATAAATAAATAAATAATTTGACTAGATCTCACCTTCCCATTTATGTAAATGACCCGTTTTCCTGTTGTTGTTCCATGTTCAAACTCAATTCGGTAAAACCCATCACTCAGCGACACATCCCACGTTCCCACAATGTCTCCGGACATTCTGCAGGCCTATTAAGATCCACACAACCCAAGCACTCTATAGCTACTATGTTTATTTCTCTGTAATGTTTTAGCCCGAGCCTGGTCATAATAGCCATCGTCATGTGTAATGGGTGATTAGATCTCTGTATATTCTTGAGGAGGTTGCCATCCTGTGCTCGCTCAGCAACGAGTGCATTAGTGTAAGAGGCTTAAATCATCAAGCAGAGAGTAGCCTAATTGAGGATGTTCGTGTGCGAAGACGGTTTTTTTTTTACTTCATGCACATTTAAATAGACATTAGGCTTAAGAGTAAAAAAATAAAATAATCAAATGTTAACCCTCTACTGCACAGTGTTGCCATATGGCAACATACCCTTTCTTTGGACATTTCTTGAAATTTTAAAATAAACATGAGCTCTGATTGATCTTAAATTCATAATAGAACCTGGTGGTAACCAATGATATGCTTTGATGACATCATGACACTACACACACCCTTGCAACGTCATTCTTTTCACACACTTTTGATGACTCCAGCTGCTGAAAAAGTGCTCGTGTATATGTGAAGATTTTCCTCATTTTTTTCAGATTTCTTCGGAATAAAAAAATACATCAAGCATCTGGGATAAGTTCTAATCTTTTTTCAATCATTGTCACATTGTTTTGATACTTATATTACCTTTTTATTTAATAAAATAGGTATGTTGCCATATGGCAACATTGTGCGGTAATGGAACAATATTTTGCCCATGCTAATGCAGAGTAGCTTTGTATGTATGGATGCACTGATATAGTTGGATGGTTGTATTCTACTCATATATTTATATATATTTGTATATATTTATAAAGTAAAGTAAAAGTAAAGTATAAAAATAAAATATATATCCGTCTTGACCGCTTTGATCACTGGCCAGAGATGGGTGCACCAAAAGGAAGGTGCAAGAATCCTGGCTGCAAGGGCATCGTCAGAGTTGTTTGCTCTAAGTGCAAGGTGCACCTCTGCTTTAAAGGTGGGGTATGTGATTTGCAAAACGGCCGGCAGATTTTGAAAATACACAACTCAAAAGGTCCTACCTTCTTTCCTCCAACGCTGGCCCTGACTCCACCCACTCCACCCATTCGAAGAGGGGCATGGGGGAGGGGGGTATGGTACGACCGTTTGATAGACGCACTTACTGTCCAATGATTCTAGGTGGTCTTGGAAATGATTGGCTGGAGTTTTTCGAGTCCTGCCCGTTCCACAGATGATTACATTTTTTAATTTTCATGTCAGTGCTTCTAGGATTAGGATAGGATTTCAAATGATTTTGAAAAAATGGTCAAAAAAGAAAATCACATACCCCACCTTTAACGGAGAGAACAACTGCTTTAAGGCGTTTCACATCGAGTAGTTTCACTTGAACAGTTCTTATGAGTTTGCGTCAGATGTTTTGTAAATGTTGTTGAAATAATCGTTTCACATTGAGTAGTTTCACTTGAACAGTTCTTATGAGTTTGCGTCAGATGTTTTGTAAATATTGTTGAAATAATACTAAATAATAAATTAGTTTCATATTCTGTACACAAAGCTCTTGAAAACATTTTAAATAATAAAAACAATTTCATTTCTAAAAGACAGGTCTGTAATCATCTATGAATTTCATGTCATTTTGGGAGAAAACGCATCAGGCTGTTCCATTGTCGCACAATGTTGCCATATGGCAACGTAACCGAAAGTAACCCACCCCCCCCCCCCCCCCCCCCCCCCCCCCCTAAAAAAAAAAAAAAAAAAAATGTTAATTTGAGTCTATTTTATATAAAAATACTGTAAAAAAAACTCCATGATTGCATAATAATGCGTGCAGTAGAGGGTTAAAGAGCGTAGATTTCCCCCCCTTTTTTGGATCCTCTCTGGTACCAATAGATGGCAGTCCTCTCTCTCTCTCTCTCACACACACACACTCTCTCTCTCTCTCTCTCTCTCTCTCTCTCTGCTTTATACAATATTCTTGATCTAGAAATATTTTCTAGATCCTAAAGATGGTAAAAATAAATAAAATAAATAAAGTTTTTCTTTTTAGGCCTACGTTAACCAGAAGCAGCTGATTAGCTACATGGCAAAAATACATAGTATTATGTATGTGATCAATAAAGTCTAGTATTTAATCTTTAAAATGTATGCAATATTGTGCAATATGATGTCATGCAAAGTTGATGTAGAACACATTAGCAAGGCAGGCACGCTATTAACATATCAAACGAGAGTGGGCGTGGTCAATCTGGCTGCGAGCCCCGCTTGTTGAGAACTTTCTTCCAGATCTCAGTCAGTGCCTGGAGCTGAGAGAGCGTTGAGAAGTATTGGACACGATGAACGTTTGCTGAGGCTCTTTTCACACCATTCTTTAAACTAAGGATAGGCTACAGAAATTTGACAAAGTGTTGTGGAGTTCTGCCTGTCTTTCTTGGAAACTAGCCTACTTGACGTAACTGAATAATATAATGAGGGAATGCATACGGAATAATGCATTTCTCTCAATCATCTGACAAACTCATTCGCTTCGGATTATGACATTATATTTTTCCCTCGAAGACGAGTAGGAACTACTTTTAGTGGTTTTCTTTATATCTATTTTACACAGTTTTTCTAAGGATGTCTTTTGTTTAGGCTACTATTACTGTAACACGATTGAGCAGGAATGCAGGGTTAGTTTGCGTCTCGCTGCTGTTGGATCAAATTACCCAAACCTTTTCGCCTATTCAATGTCATAATTTTAGAGTGATTTGTATTTATGTTGTAGTCATATTAGCAGTATTATTGCAATGAAAAATCATCATGTCATTTTGTTTACTCTGACGTGGATTCAAGCATCAGAATTGGTCCTGGATTACACAGGATCAGAGGGAGGAAATGCACAATTACAATCAAACACTTTTGTCAAAAAGTACACGAATGATGTGCAATCTAGTAGAAGATTTGCACGGTTATCCACCTCTGGAAACACACGTATACTCAGGAAACGTCAAAATGATCAGAATGTGGAGTCCTCACGACCCCCAGCCAGGAGGCTCCTGAAAGGGCAAAGACAAGTTCCATACAGGAAACCCACTGTGACTGACAGCATTCCTGCTCAAGAAGCTATTTTTCAATCTACTCCATTGGGCACAACTAGCTCCATAAACATCCTGGCTGGTTTTGCAGGTAAAAAACGTGTTCTGGTCATTTCAGCTCCCAACGACTCTGATGGCTATTACAGGTTAATGATGAACTTGCTCAAGCCGGACGTGTACTGTGAGATGGCGGACAGACACATGCAGCAGATTATAATATTCCATGAAAAGGGGAAGATGGGAGGCAAGGTGAGCCGTGTTAACAATCAGGGATCTCTGGTGGAGGAGACGTTGGATCCAGCCCTGGTGCCCAGACTGATGGGCTTCCTGAAGCTGGAGGATGGTAAGTTTGGGATGGTGCTTCTAAGAAAGACCCTTCAGGTAGAGGAAAGATACCCATACCCTGTTCAGCTGGAGGCGATTTATGAAGCGATAGACCAGACTCCTATGCGTAGACTGGAGAAGGCCAGGCAAAAGGGCTTTGTGAAAAAGTGCAAGACCGCTGGAGTTGAGGGCCAGGTAGTGCAGTCTGTTGGCTCGAATGCAGTTGGTTTGCAGCCGCAGGTGAACACGACAAAAAATACAGGGCGACACAGGGTGAGACCAGTCCCTCAGCCCACCCAGCTAACTCAGGCACAAATATCAACTACCATCAGTACCACTACAATGACTACAACCAAAAAACTTACAACAACGACTACCTTGAAAACTACAACCACAACACCTCCAACAACAACAGTACCTACTACCACCTTTTTTCCCTCAACAACAACTACCATTACCACAAATGCACCCTCCACAGTGGTGCAAACGCATCCACACACAACCGTACCCTGGAACACAGCTGTGCCCAATACCTCTGAGCGCGTCTACCCGCCCTCGCCACAAAACCGTCTGAGGGACACAGATACTCGTCTCGCTGTTACCTCTAACTTCTACAAACAACATAAAGGAAAATACCTAGGCCAAACGCAAAAGATTTCAACTGCAATCTCACCAACACAAGCATTCACACAGAAGGGCAAACTGCCTGTGGTAAAACATGGCTGGAGTGAAAAGCTTAGTCAGCACACAAGAGAACGAGACACACGGAGGCCCACTGCTCATAAACCAGAGACAGAACTTATTACCACTCAAAAGGGGAAAACTAAAGCTGAAAGTGCCGACCGGAGGAAGAAGGTGGATAGACCTGAAAAGACTTTAAAGAAGATACCTGGAGGAAAAAAAGGCCCAAAAGTGACAAATGTCAGTGTTCAAATAAAAAACGTTGTGCAAAAGCCAAATGTCTTTGAAGAAAGGGCTGTTGTGGACCAGGCAGCCAATCCCAAGAAATCGTTAGAAACTTTTTTGAGTTACTTTCAGAGAAGACGACGGCTCATAGTACGTATTGTATCTATGAGACATATGAAAACAGTTACATAGAAATATAGCTCGGGGCTCAACAATAAGGATGGCCCGTTGTGAGAGAGTTTCGGGCCAGTTGTCGATAATGCTATCTTACATTTTTTGATCATTACACATTACTCATTACCAAACTTTTTCTGAAATTTTGAGCCATAGAATTATGCTTATGGACTTTTTAAACTCACCAGATAGATATAAATATATAATGTAATATTCTTAGCTATTACTGCAATGTGTGAACACTTTTAATAATTTTTAAAGGTCGGTAAAAATGTGTGAACATTTTAAATATTTTTCAATGAATATTAAATTATAAATGTCAAAATTACACATTTAAATGAAAAATAGATAAATGTATATTTCAATTAATAATTTTACATTTATTCAAGAAACCTCCGAAAAAAATCCTTACTGTTGAGCCATCTTAAAAATAACGGTTCATTATGCCATCCATAATTCCAATATCTATTGAACTTTTCTATGCACAAAAGGTTCTATATATTGCAAAAAGGTGATTAGAATGTTCTTCAAACTAAGAAAAAAAAGGTTCATTTAAGAACTGTTTACTATGTAAGGCTCTCCAAAATGTGAACCGTCCCTTTTGAAACCTTTATTTGCTCATTATGTTCCTGAAAATGAAGAAGCATTTTGGTTCATTAAAGCACTGAAACAATCTCTAAAAGTGTTGTGTGTTTTATTAATCTTCTGCAGGTAATAACTGCTCCAGATGAGCAGAATCATATGTACAGTGAACAGAGGGATGAGTACCTGGAGCAAGTGTGTGATATGGCCCTGCGTAAAATTTCCATCATCGGTATCTTTGGGCCCCTCACAAACAGTACCATGAAGATTGAACACTACCAGACAGGTCAGTGCTGCTTACAGTCTTTGTGTGTTTGTAACATGTCCTATCAAAATGTCCTCATTCTTCTTTTAACAGAACAGGATAAGCCCTTACGAGGCCTGCCGGACAGTGATCTCATCAACCAGGACCTCATCACTGCATTTCGGAAACATTTCGGGATGATTTATAATGATTTCAACATGTTGCTGACTGACTTTGACATGAAAGTCAAGGTGCGTCGTAAAAAGCTTTCGTTAGTGTAAATGAGATGTAGATGTAATCATTTCTTACCTAATTTTATTACACAAAATCATGCATTCCTTGTTTTCACAGCAACGATATGAAGTCCCGATTGTTATGCAAGCAGTGTTTGATTACATTGACACACTGTCAACTCGCATTAAAGAGATAGAACAGCAGAGGAAACTTGCGGTTATGTGCAAGAAAGAAGACAAATCAAGATCTCTAGAGGACTTCCTATCTAGGTTCGAAATAACCAGTGTCAGTGTCTGAATTTATCATTTATATAATGCATTAACGTAAGGAATATGCTCATCTGCATGCTTTCTCATGTCTTTCAAGATTCCGTTGGAGGCGGAGACTGTTTGTAATATCCACCCCTAATGATGAAGAATGGGCCTATCAGCAACAACTCAACGTCATTAATAGCCAAGCTTGTTATCTAGGTGAGATCATTTGGATAAACCTTAGTGGCATTTTTAGGAACTATCTTCCACTGTGGAATAAACATGTGCTTTTAAATGTGAACGTATAGCGCTACTTACAGTAGACTACAAAATGCTATAGACAAATCCAGAAGTGTGCGAATTGCGAAATTTCTTTATGTTCAGTTTTGGGGGCCTGAAAAAAAAGTAAACTTTTGAAAATGGGATTCAGAGTGCACGTAACGATACCGTTATTTGTCTCTGTGTAAGCTACAAAAACGCAAATTTGTGAAAATAGTGACGTTTTGTGTATTACGTGTTCAGTCTAGGTGTGTAGTAGCCTAGTGTTTCTTTACAAAATGATATCGCAACTAATGTCCTGGCAGCATAATACAGCGTTTGTAGTTGTTTTCGCTGATCTGTGTGAACAAGGATCGTTTTATCAACGTTGTCGTCTGTAGGCCTACGTGAAGAACGCAAAGGAAATCGTTTCCGTATTTAGTACATCATTGTCTTGTAAACGTAGGCCTACCCTAAACGTTTTAATGAGTGAGATATCTAAAACATTTTAGTATATATGTGCGTCCCCAGGACTGAGAAACACTGTTGTAGGTAATATACACTATTACAGGTGTTCAAAAACATTTTGGTCAAACCTCTTGGAGGTCAAATATTTACTTGAAGTACCCCTCAGATGTTAGTTCAAATTAGCATATTCACAGTTTTCTGATGTTGGTTAATGGTCAAATGACATGCAGATTAAATAACAGAAAATGTTTTATTTTGATTGTTTTTTATTTGAAAAATTATTGAAATACTGGGCTGCACAACTTTTGCAATTATTTTGTCATATATAGCAATTTCAACAGTGATATGACATTTATCTCATCTGAAAACATTTCATATTGCTGCTGCTTTTGGGGTCTTTATTATTATTATTTGTTGTAGTAGTAGTTATAACTCTTATAAGAATCAAGACATAAATATATTACTGCTGTAAAAAATGTAAATAATAATATTTGATCATTACAAAAAATAATGTTATTTTACACTATTTTTACACTATTTTAAGTGTCAGCGAGTGGTTACAAATAATGAAAATAAAGTGCAGGATTTTATCATGGCAGTTAGTTTTATTTAAAAAACTGAAAAGAAACAAAATGCTCATCAAAAACAGAAACAGAACAATCAACGTAACTAAGGGTCTGTTTACACGACACCGTTTTAAACTAAAAACGTAAAACTTTTTATGCATTTTGGCCGTGTATTTACACGACAACGCCGTTTAGGTTGGCTGAAAATGCACACTTTTGAAAACAGTCTCCGAGTAAACAACAAAAACGCGAATCTCTGAAGACGATGATGTCATACTCATCCGTATTACATGTTCAATCTATAGTGTTTCATTGCCATCTAACAGCCTGGCAGCAGAATGCAGCATTTGTAGTCGTTTTCGTGGATCCGTGTGAATGGGGATCGTTTTGACAATGTCTGTATGCAGAAAACTCAAAGGAAAAACGTCTCAGTTTTAAGCATATCGTTCTCGTGTAAACACCCCAAATGAGAACAGACAATGAACTGAACAAAGACAGAGTTTAAATACACAAGGCAAACTAATCAACTAAATGAATAACAGGTGCACATGTTAATCAAATCAAAGAGAAGCCATGGGCTGTGTCCGAAATCGCCCCCTATACCCTTAAATAGGGCACTATTTGAAGGGACAGCCATTTGTAGTGGTGTCCGAAACCATAGTGGACGATATTGAGTGCACTTATTCAATCCCACAATGCACCGCAATAACGAGTGTACAACTGATGTACGCTCAACGGCTAGAGAATACCCATAATGCACTGTGAGAGCCGCGCGCTTAAGGAATTCCAGCCATTTTCCATCCATTTTCCAAACCCCGTAAATATCATACAGGTAGAAATTCCTTTTTAATTGATTATTAAATTGTTTAATTACGGTTTATACATGCTAGTTTCAATAGCAGAGTTCAGGATAAATCTTTTCATTACTACTCGAGCAGTTTGCTACGTTTCAAATCATTTCAAGCACACACTGCAAAAGCGGCAGACCTTCCTGCCCACCCAGTGTCCGAATTCACTCACTCGTTTTCATTCACTTCTTCAAGTGGGACTATATTAGTGGAGTAATGTAGGGAATAATGAATGAGGGTATAGGGGGCGATTTTGAACACAGCATTGGTAACAAACTAAAACATGTGACAAACCCACCCAAAACAGAAACTGATACCCGTAACCACATGTTATCAATATTTAAATGTTTCAAATTTTTCACTTTCAAACATTCAAATCCTCAAACTTTATGTCTAGGCTACATAAAGTGAACCAAGAGCACACAGCATCCTTAAAATGCACATAAAACAGAACCAACCCGCTTTAAGATACTGATACAGCTCATCAAAGCTACTTGAGTGTACAAAACAGTGCTGCTCTTCACTCTAAAACACACAACTCAACAGACTACATTTATTTCATTAAACAAAGCTTTTGATAATCTATATATAATCAAATATAATTGTGAAACCCCATTTAATTATTTCAATTTTACATTCGATTTCATCAATTATTAGATTTTCATCAACTCACCAACCCCCCCGATTTTGGGAACCCTGTACTATTATATGTAACCTATAATGTAAAAGACCTTAATGGTCATAGTTCAGACAACATACATTATAAAAGGATTTCTAGGATCTCTAATAAGCTAGTGGAATCATTTAATTTTTCATTAGTAGAATTGTTCATGACACAGTTGTGTAAAAGCAGCCAATCTGAGAATTTACTAGATTAAGAAAAAACAGGAAAGTTGAGACTATTATGACACCGCACTCAAACTATCAATATTAGTACTTTTGTGTGAACTGTATACAGAAAGCTCTAAGAGCTTTGCTATATCAACATCACTCCCACTTGTTTATGTAACTTAGAAAATAGACACTTTTTGCTTATTGAAATTCCATGTAAACAAATTTTGGGGTCCGGTCCGGTCAACACCCGGCCTATGCGATAATGTCAACAGCTGTCATTTGTTTGGACGTTCCAATCAAAAAATGCATGACTTGTGCATTCTATATCTGGATGTCTGACCTCCAAACAAACCCATAATTCCAATTTGACAACTAACATAAAAAACTATTTGCACTAGGAAATCATCAAGTCAGATGCCAGAGGATTCTCCAGAGAGCTGCCCGCTTATAGAAATGCACATAATGGTATTGATACTTGTCTTTTAATTGGAACCAGCTCTTATCTGCACAAGAGCCCTCAATCACAAATGGCTCTGAGGAATGGCACTAATAAAAATAGGATGACGCAGTCCATTTTGGGCTCTTCTGTCAGCTATTTTGGAAGTAGGAACATTTTTAGGAATCTTTCTCTGCATTCTTTACAATCCAGGAGGACCCGTGGATGTTTGAGTCGTGCGTAGCGATCCAACAGAGACCACTTCCTCTCTGGGGCATGACAGCTTGATTGATGCCCTCATAAACGAAGGCCCGTTTTAGAACAAAAAACAATGGATATTTTTAATGCAAATCACATGCATGTTTCAGAGAACATCTATGCAGAAATTCTCTTGAATCCAGTGTATAGTATGAGTCACCTTTTGTTCTTTATATGTTAAGTCTTTCTTTTTTTTCTCCGTAAATTCACAGGGCTGCGTCACATATCTGTACTGAAAATTACTGGAAAAACGCTGGATGACATGAGTGGAGTCCTGGAGCTTTACCCCATAAATGGTGAGATTAGCGACTCGTTTCGCAGTGAACAAAACTCATTCGCTTTTATTGTCGGAATGCAGATGTAGAGCTGTTTTGTTGTTGAAAGAAAATGAGGAAACTGTGGTTTGTATTGCAGGAAGTGCATCAGTGGACCGTGAGGACCTGTCTGCCTCGCTGGTGCAGGACATCAGGAACTACTTCCAGATCAGCCACGAGTATTTCTCCATGCTGCTTGTTGGGAAAGACGGCAATGTGAAATCCTGGTACCCCTCGCCCATGTGGTCCATGTCAATCATTTACGAGCTGGTGGACTCCATGCAGCTTCGCAGGCAGGAGATGGCCATCCAGCAGTCTCTCGGCATGCGTTGCCCAGACGACGACTACAGTCACCATGAGGGCTATCATCGGGGTTACGGTTATTAAGAACAGTGAGAGATGTCTTTGAGGCTGCAGTGCACTCCCTACAAGGAAACGTGTGAAGAGTTTCAAATGTCAGAAGACTTTGCCTTTGCAGTTTTCTTACTAAACAGTACAATGAGCATTTCATGTATTGTTTTGTGGAAGCTGATATTTAGATTTGCTCTTGTCACGAATGATTTGGTAACACTTTACAATAAGGTTCATTAGTTAACAACACTTCTACAGCATTAATTAATCTATCAATTTCAACATTTACTTATACATTATTAAAATCAAAGGTTGTATTTGTTAACATTAGTGTGAACTAACATGAACAAACAATAAACAGCTGTAGTTTTATTAATTAACAAAGATTAATGAATACTGTAACAAATGTTTTGGTCATTGTTAGTTCATGTTACTTAATACATTAACTAATGTTAACTAATGAACCTTATTGTAAAGTGTTACCAATTATTTTAAAGTGCTGTTAATGTTTTTGATTCATGTTTTATGTTTTACAACTTGAATGTTTTGCATGCGAGTATGCAGTTGTTTTTAGCTATACATTTATGAATTTAACAGTAGAAAAATATTCATTGCTAATAAGGAAAAATGTGTATTTTGTTCCACAATTAATTATCTATATATCTTGTTGATAAATTGAGTCACAAGTAAAAAATTCTGGGAACATTTTGTATGGGCTATTTTATCTGGAATTGATCTACTGCCCTCTACTGGGCATTCAGGGGTATTAAAATATGCTTGCAACTTTAGTTACTAAGACATTTAGTACATTAACATTATTTTCATACATTGCCTAATGACATGGATGATTTAAAAATGAATATTTAAAAAAAAAAGGCTAAATGTTAAATGTGTTATTAGTATCAATTATGCAATGTGAAACAACATTAAAATGAATATGTACATATCTTTAAATATTTCATACCAAAAGAAATGCACAGATCCACAAAATGTGATCAGGTTATTTTTATTTTATTTTAGAAAACCTCTACAGAAGAATACTTGTAAAAGAAAAAAAAAGAGCAGCACTAGAAGATCTTACTTCTTCAGTATCCAACATCATAGAGCACACAACACCTAAAACCAAATTACCTTACAATATAATAAATATACCTTACAAATATTAATTCCACACACAAAAAACTCGCACAACCCTATTTTTGGTCTCAAATTTCCACAATACTATACAATAAGACAGAAATATATTTAAAAAAAACATAAAAGTACATTATAATGTTGGCACAATCATGACTTCATTGTTTTAGTCCATCAAGACAATCATATGTTATTGCTTTATTTAACATTTAAAATGTTATTTTTAAAAGAAGGCTAAATAGGTAAGAAAATATTTCTAATGACAGTGTTACTGCTAGTAACTTAAGCACTGCATATTTCTAAAAAAGCTTTCTGCTGTATAATTTTTCTGTATAGCTAGACCCTAGATAAAAGATTTATAGATCTTTGCCGTTATTTGCAAATACCGTACATGGTAACGGTCATGGTAAAATATGTCGCTGTTTACTAGTGTAGTCAATTGAATATTGTGTATATACAAATTGTTAATGCTGAATCTTATTTTTCTAAGTCTTGATCTAAATTATTAATTTCCTTCGGTTGTGTGTAACACGACTAGGACTATAGTGTTCAATAATGTTCTGGTGTTCAAACACACAGACATGCTCCCCTTTATCTGTAAATGAAGAAATGTTTAAAAAAAATAATCTATTAAATAAAACATAGATGGGATGTTCAACAAAACGTGTAGTTTTTGTATGGAGAAATATAATAGTTTAATTCTAGCGGGCGGCACACATTGATAAACGGTTGCAATATTATACAACAGTTAGTTCCAGTCCTCAAATTTGATTGATCAAGTGACTGTGTTTGAATCAATCTATATTTTCAACGGTTCAATCCAGAACAAAACACAACCACTTTGTGTTGATTCTGCTGTGGCTTCGTTCGGAACTATTAGAACAGACAAAAAAAATATATAACTAAAAGGTTACATCTCTCTTTCTTTACAAAAGCAATTTCACACTCGCAATCGTGCTGTTCTGAATCAACAAGGCTTTGGGTGCTTCTCATTTTTTTATTTGTGCATCCTCCCTTTCTTTCCTCACGTCCCAGCTCCACCCCTAGGGATTCAAGGGAAGGAAACAAGGAAAGAGGACGAAAAATCGAAGGAAATATTTCAAATTGGAATATTCTTGATCACTCGAGGGTCATATGTTGTTGAAGTTAGGTTATTTCAGAAATTCATTAATAAATAATAATAATAAAGTAAGATGCCTTGTTGAAATATGTGAGATGTATAGTTTGAACTGCAAAGGTAAAACATAAATTGAAATGATTGTGACAGATGTGAAGGAGAATTTATGGGCGTCAGGTTTTTTCGACAAGAAACACTTGACAAGATACAGCTGTGCACCCTTGCTCATACCTCATGTGCAATTAGAGAAGTGAGATGACGTTTCCGAGTCAAAGGCTGGAGGCGCGAGGAAACATCGATCTGAGTATTGAAGCACCAATTGATACTAGATATTCTGAACAACAGCAGGCTGACAAAAGAGCTGTCTGTGCGCTAGCCTTTGAGCCAAACATTTGATGAATTTGCAGTGAACGTGCATTAATTCTGCACACGTGTGAGAGAAAGATGAGATGGCAGATTCAAACTAGTGCTTACATCCATAATGTGATTGCACGGGCTAACAGTCTGACTAGTATTGGCCCAATTCTTGTGACTAAAACCAGCTTTCCACCGCAGGAACTAAGGACATTGTAGGTACTCGTTGTATTTCGACCGCAGGAACCATGGTCTAAATGAAGTTCCGGGTAAAAGTTTCCCCCTCAGAAAGACCCTGCTTGCGATGTAGTACTTCAGTAAAGTTCGGAGATGGAACTTTCGGAGATGGGGCACTGAACATGCTGATTGGTTGAGTTCATGCCGCATTTGGATTGGTTGACTCCACGCAGCATTTCATTTCAACCACCATTTTTAAAAATCTGTTGCGGTGCGCGCAGTCCTACGTCACCGGACTAATTTGCCTAATCTTCACGGTACTTTAGATCGCGGTGGAAATGCAGATAGCAGCAGGTCTGGGGGAAAAAGGTCATAGGACACATTGTTCCGGGTAAATTCGGTGGAAACGCGGCTTATAATGATCATTTATTGCAGCGCCCACCGGACTAGAAATTCAAAAAGCTTTAATGAATGTATAAATGTATTTAAATTATTTTTAAATTAAGGACCTGTTTTTTTATGAACCAACCACAGTTTCTAAGGACTATTCGGACAGGATTAATTTTTACAAGGACACTTAGATGGAGTAATATAATTTTACCACAGGACGTCTGTAATATTAATGGCCAATTCGCTTGTGATAAGAAATCTCAGTAAAAGTAGCAGAAGTGGGAGGGGTAACTCGATTTACACACTGCCGACACCTCCTTGTCGTCATTTGCGCATTACGTTGCTTCCTGATAGGCGTGTTCGACTTCATGCAGCGCTGCGAATCCGACGCCATGTGACTGTGACATATGTCATCAAAGTACCGCGAGAGCGATTCTAAGGCAGCCGGCTGATACATTCTGCGCAGCTTCTCAAGAGCGGCTGCACGAGCTCTGATGACGACAACTGTTCCACGATTGGCCGGATTGTGTGTTTGATGTTTATTCGAACACAATATTGTTCACAAATTATTATTGTTCACAAATCTGTTTTTAATAACAGTAAAAACTCTTTTCATGTAGTCGCGATGTTAAATGGTGTCATGTTTATCAAAATAAAACTGATAAAAAAAACGTAGACCCCACTTCATAGATAGTATAGGCTTGTGCATGCCGCTTAGAAATGTGTCCCGAATGCGGTCCGCCTTGCTTGGGGGGGGGGGTATTGATATTGCCCCCCTAGCAATATCATTTATGGGACCTGGGTATTTAGAAAACCCTACGTACGGCCCTGATATGCAAGAATACTAGTGATTCTATATGTTCCATTGTATTCATTATATTCTATATTCTACAGTCTTGCATATTCAATACTAATGCAAGACTAGTCTTACGTCACTGTTTATAACAAAGAGCGTTCATCCTTTGCTGGGACGCTTAAAAAAAATATTGGGGGCATAAATTAAGAGTATACCCACTTCTCCAGGCACCAGTACATCACTGGAGAGCCCCATCCGGCTTGGCTACACCTTTTTTCACTCCTCCCCTACTCTCAGCTACATTTCAGGCGAGGCGCGTCTCCGTTTTCAGCTCCTGCACGCAGCAACTCACAGAAAACACTTGAGATTTACCACAGACTTGTCCCACCGATTAGAATGCACCTGAATGCTTTTTCAAGCCTTCCATACTTGGAAAAACTACTTTTAAACAGGAAATGACGCCATACGGATAATTTATCTAAAAATTTTTTTGGAGAATTTGGGTAATTCTATTGTAATAGATTACACACAGCACTTGGAGGCTTTATTTGAATCGTTGAACTACATTTACAAAAAAAGACAAGTAAACCTTGTGTTTCCCGCATACCATTCAGATCAAAAAGGTCGAGAGCACTTGTTAGAGGCACGAACCTTCTTTTAGAGTTAGGTAAGTGCCTATTACCAACATAATCCATTTAGAATTTAATTAATAAATCGTTCGACTGGACATAAATATAGATTATGTGTTTGCGCACATGATATCAGGAAGCAACGTAATACGCACATGATGACAGGAAGGCGGTGCGTAAATCGAGTTACCCCTCCCACTTCTGCTAGTTTTACTGAGATTTCTTATCCCGTGCCAATTGTCCATTATTATAACAGACGTCCTGTGGTAAAATTACAATACTTTACATTTCATTCAAATGGGACTAAAATCACTGAGAAGCTCTGGTAATAATTACTTTACCCCACCTCTCCATGTAAAACTAATACCGTCCGAATAGGGCTTTAATTTCAAGTAACATCCATAAAATAAGGCATCATAATGGTTTCCTTTAAATAAGTGCATTTTGTTCTACACAATCTGTGACCCACAACGGCCACTTACAGTGTATAATTGTGAACTCGGTAATAAGATTCATAATCATCAGTGCTTATAATCTATAAAGCTGGATCAATCAAGTGTGACTGATTTGGATATGCTGCTTGTCTTTTTTATAAAAAAAATGTTCTGTTCAGTTGGAGAGAGGATTATTCCATAACCTTGCATTTCATGCCTCTGGAACGGACTCTGTTGTGGGTAATTCATTCTGTCCTCCAGATCTCCTTCTTTTGAACAGTTTATACAGCCCAGCAATGAAGAATATCACTGCTACCGCAGCAAAGTAACTCGCATAGATCAAAAACTGTGGAAAGCAGAAAATTGCACAGGATATTAGCAGCTTTCATTGGTGATGGAAAAGCATTATTACTCACTCAGCTGGATTCATGTTTTACTTTACCTGTAGAAAAATGTCCAGGCCCAGTCCGGCAGAATCTACTACAATCACTGTAAGAACCGTCTGCAGTAAGAGTGCAATGAAAGTGTTTACTCCAAAAACCAAAGCATATCGTTTCATGCTTAAGTTAGCAGCAATCTGATACCTGCAATATAAAAAAAGACAAATGAATTTGACCTTTCCCAACATCAAAGTTTAAAGTGTTATGCATTTAAATATTTTACAAGGATTTTTTTAAAGTGTAGACTTTTAAAGAAAAGAAAGTATTGTCAGGGTCCAAGTGCACATGGACAACTCGACTGAAACACCCAAACGAATTTCAGATAAATGAGCACAAAGACTACAGTTTAGAAGGTAACATTGCTAATCCTAAACTCACTTCTGATTTACCCAAGATTATTTGGAGTACTGCAGCAACAAGATTGTGCACAAATTGAACAAACGTTGACGAATATGGAAAAATTATTAAAATGGCTAAAAATATAGATTGAAATGGAACCAATGAATGAGTTTGGGCTCTCTGTGATTTAAGAATGCAGAAACAGTGTTTATTCATTTAGCCCATCTTCAAGAGAGCACTTGCTTTGTAATTAATTCTTTCAATCATGCAATCAAATGAATCAAGAGTTTGAGTTCTTGCTCATTTTGCTGTTGTTACGCCCAGAGCCGTAAGGGTTTGTTGTTGTGCCCAAGCTGTGCCCTGTATTTTCTCTTTGGCTGTTTAACTCCACTCAAACTTCCCTAAGCACTTCCCCTCAGAGGAATCCTCAACGCCATTTTGAAGGGTGATAAACTTCGTAAAGTGGGTGAGGGAAGTTTATTTGGACAGACCCTCGACCCTTTGATTCTGACAGAGGGAGCGAGTCTACTCAATATTTACACTTTAGGCAGAACCATAGACCACAATTGGGACGTCACAGCAGATCGCGCTTAATTTACCCCACCCCACACAACTCGTGTGTGTATAACTCGAGTTATTTTGACATTTAACCACATTTCATACTTGTAGCTACCTTAAGCTGACTGTTTATTTACACAATTATAGTTTGTTTTATTGTTTTCATCTTCAATTGTTTATTTTTTTTTATATTTAATATAAATATATTAAATATAGCATATCTCCATAGCAGATTCCAAGTGATCAAGGGCTTGAGAGCATTCCATTAAAAACCCATTGCAAGGGTTCAGCCTGTAGTGGGCGCACTCATGCAACGCTAACAATGACGTACATCCAAGTGAACGTAATATTGTGATATTTTGAAGAATATGGGTAACCAAACAGTTTATGGGGCCTCATTGACTTCAATAGTAGGAAAAGAAATACTATGAAAGTCAATGGTGCCCATCAACTGTATGGTTACTGACATTCTTCAAAATATCTTCTTTTGTGTTCAACAGAAGAAAGAAATGCATACAGGTTTGGAACAACTTGAGGGAGAGTAAATGACAGAATTTTCAATTTTGGGTGGAGTATCCCTTTATTGGACAACTCTCCATTGCAAGCATTCTGTCACTGTTTAAACTGCCCAGTCAATCATCTTGACAGTTAAATCCTCTGTAATTTCCTCCTGTTTAGGAGAGAAATGTCGTAGCACGTTGATCTGCCAGTCATGGGTCTTTCATGCAGACTCTCCTCATGTGTTTTCATAATGATGCATTTAAAAGTTAACGACTAAACATATCTTTACAAAAGTTCACAATGCTGTTGCAAATGTGGATAACATTAAGCAAATATCTTTTCGTCAGGTTAGATACTGATTATTAAAGGGTTAGTTCCAGTGATGTGAATAACGGCGTTATAAATAAACAGCGTTACTAACGGCGTTATCTTTTTCAGTAACGAGTAATCTAACGAATTACCGTTTCCCCCGTTACAAAGCAGTTACCGTTACTGACAAAAAAAAATGTGGCGTTACTATAATTGAACTCACTGAAGCGGTTTTCATCCGAGTAGGCTCTCTCCGCCTGTGTGTGTGTGTTTATGAGGCGCGGAGTGGACAAAAGCGAAGCGAACGCCGCGAGCACGCTCAATGCGCGAGAGAGACCGAATGTGTCCGAGAGCGCGCTCAACAGTTGCGCAAGAGAGACTGAGGGTGTCCGAGCATTATATAGTTTGTTTATAAATAAATGACACATTTCAGCATTAGAAAGCATTATCTATAGCCTATTGGTATCATCTGCAACGTTAATTAATTGACATGGTTATACAAATAAAATCTAAAAAATAACCTACAGGGAACGTTCTGTTTAGGTTATAAAATAAAACCCGAAAATAACCTGCAGGGAACATTCACAGAAAACATCTTTGTTTGACCGGTTGTAAACACGTGCGGCAAACATGTCTAGAATTTGGCTTAAATAACCTCTGATGATGACGTTTGCTAAAAATAACCCCCAAAATATTATATTTTAGTATTATATATATATATTTTTTTTTTTTGGTACATTGTTCAGTATTATATTGAGAGAGCACTTGTTAAACTGTTTACTTTTGTTAGGAAGAAAATACTTAGGCTACAGTATGTCTACTAGTTGTGAAGTTGTGTAACAGTTTTATCATTTAATATGCACAAAGAGTATATATATTTTTTATTATTATTTATTCATTTTTGGTACATTTCTTAAGAATCATAATTTATTTTTAAACTAATTTGTTGGCCAGTTGGGGTCTGTGGGATATTAAGTATAAACCATCTATAATGTTTTATTGTTCTACTATAGTAATGGTAATATTTAGAATAATATATTGAATTTAATAGGCATCTCTCACATTGTCCCACAGCAACGTTAAAATAGAATAAATTATTATTATAAAACATTGAACACTAATCTACACTATTAAGTGTCCATTTCATTAATTTAACATATTTAATACTGGGGGCATCCAAATTATTTGACATAGATCTATTTAAAAAAAAAAATTTTAAAGTAACGCAATAGTTACTTTCTCTGGTAATTAGTTACTTTTATAATGATGTAACTCAGTTACTATTTGTGAGAAGTAACTAGTAACTATAACTAATTACTTTTTTTAAGTAACATGCTCAACACTGGTTAGTTCACCCAAAAATGAAAATTCTGTCATCAATTAGTTACTCACCCTCATGTCGTTCCAAACACGTAAGACCTTAGTTCTTCTTCGGAACACAAATTAAGATATTTTTGATGAAATCCGATGGCAGCAATTTAATTAACACTTTGAAGGCCCAGAAAGGAAATACATCGTTAAAATAGTCCATGTGACTACAGCGGTTCAACCTCAATTGTATTAAGCGACGAGAATTTTTTTTTTTTGCCGCACAAAAAGTAAAGTAATTTCTTCTCTTCTCTATCAGTCTCCGACGCGCGTTTACGAGAGCACCACGACGCATGTGCGCGGTGATGACGCAGGAGCTGGCGTTCTGACATATGACTTCCGAAGATGAACGGAATTCTTACGGGTTTGAAACGACATGAGGGTGAGTAAGTAATTAATGACAGAATTTTCATTTTGAGTGAACTATCCCTTTAATCACTCAAACCCCTTAATCTAACCTCTCTACTTAACTGTCTGACTTGTACATCCGCCATGTTCGTAGTTGAACACTTTTTATTTGTGTTTGTAGTTCTAATCGAATTCTTGTCCAACACACAATGGGTTGTGAGCAATATTAGCCGTTACAGTGTGCATGGATCTGCACTTCGAATTCTAACCGGAAAAAGTAGACAATTCAGGTATTTTTGGAATACTCATTTCTCCTTTTTTCTTCCATCCTCATTTCTTTCGCTGTCGTAAGTTCTTAGAACGTTGTGGTCCCAACAAAATGCACCTTCACAAAATTAAGTTATCCAGCGTAAAGTTGATTTCTAAAGAAAATTGTTAAGCTTTACTTACGTTGCTATGGTGATAAGCAGCATGTAGGTAGCTCTGAAGATGATATAGGCAGTGTAGCAAACCCAGATATTCCTGACGGTGTCCATGAGGAACACACACACTGCAATTACCACAGAGAAAATGCAGAGAGCAAGTTCTCCCCACACTGTCCAAGACACTTTCACAAAGCTTACAACAAATGCAGCAAAAGCACCTGGTGGAAAAAACACAAGTCATTAAAAGTGCCCATATTATGCCCATTTCCAAGTTCATAATTTTGTTTTTGGGGTCTACTAGAATACATTTACATGATTTAAAGGTGGGGTAGGCAATTTCGGAGTGGCTAGCAATAGCGAGCTAGCTTTGAAAGCATAAGATCCCAAAGCCACGCCTCCTCTAAAACACATGAACGCGCAGTTCGCGCACAGACAGAAATTAGGCTGGCCTGATCGGCTTATTCCACGCAGTTTCTGCTGCACAGTGAAAGAAGTGAAGTCACCTCATCACTGGACCACAGAGATGTCTCCATTATATTAGAATTTTCAGCATGACCAGCACATTGACAACATTGGTACTTGGTGGTACTCTGTGTTTCGACCGCAGGAACCAGGGTCTAAATGAAGTTTAAGGTAAAAATGTCCCCCTCAGAAAGTCCCTGCTCACTAGTTAGTACTTTTTCAAAGTTCAGGAAATTTCAGGGGTGGGACTTGGGCGCTGAACATGCTGATTGGTTGAGTTCATGCCCCATTTTCTTTTAATTTCAAATTGTCACCTTGCATTCATGTACATTAAGGTGCATGAGCAGTTTACCATGTTTCATAGCGCACTACGATCATGGCAATAATATCAAACAGGTTTGAAAATATCGCAGCGTCTGTGACTGCGAGAGACAGGCTCAGATCACGTCACTGACAAGCTCATTTTTGACGAGCATCAGTGACCGCAATGAGCACCGATTTGGCCGCGATCCGGGGGTTGTCGTCGCAAACCTTCGAAATCTGTCGGCAACAGCAAAATCCAGCCAAAAGTTTTCAGATTTCATGTGATTTTTTTCCGTTCACACTTGCTAAATATGATCGGATTCCAATTGGATATGCACAAAAGATATGCATTTGGACTGATAGTCCAAACAAGGCTATAGTGAAATCACTTTCCCAACTGTTCTTTGAGGGCAGGCCAAATTAGACAGTAGGCGGTCACTGTCTAATCCATGTAGCTAATGGAAATAACGGCAGGACTACAAACAAGGCGTTGATAGAGTTTGATACCCCTGCACTAAAAGAAAAGTAAAAATAAAAAGCATAATAGGTGCCCTATTATTGGGAATCAATTTATACAATTGTGTGTATTGTTATTTGATTGTTGCCAGCCTTTTTATAATTATCAACACAAATTTAACAGAGAATGCATAACAAAGTAATTTGAGAATGAGCATATAATAAAATTGATTATAAACCAGTAACCATACCAAGCAAGGTAGAAATGGTCTCCACGTATCCATTGTAGATCTCAAAATCATTGGAAGGCAAGATTTTCTCCCAAAGTGCTTGAGCGTAATTAATCACCTGGAAGTAACCACATGTGGACAAAGCCCACCACACTGACCAGGCCAGTAGGGTAGAGGAGGAGTAACACTGCAGGAAGTCTGCCCAGAGCATTTTTAACACTTCCAGTAATCTACTACTGCTAGTGTTGTCCCTGAGAGTCTGAAAATCAAACAAATGAGTCAAATCAAGTCACAGACAGTTATCTGATAAACATGCACATGACTGTGAACATATCAGTATCTGCAAATATTAGCATTTTTTACTTCTTTTTTTTTTTAAGTTTAAAAAAAAGAACATTCAGTCTTTTAAATTTAAAGACTTTGGTTAAACTTTAAAACACAAATTAAGATTTTTTTTTTTATGAAACCTGAGATGGTTCAGTCCCTTCATTGAAAGTCTAGACAACCAAAAATCCAAAAAGGTCTTTAAGACGTCATAAAATAAATTCATATAAATTGAGTGTCTTAATCAAAGTCTTGTAAAGAGATATGATCCCTTTATATGAAAAACAGATTTAATTTAGGCTTTTATTCACATATAAACACACATACATCATGTCACATGCTAAAACAAACCTCACTTGGTCCTCATGCATCACGCAGGCACTTTTGAGCTTCCATATTTACCATGTGACATGCTCCATGTATAATGTTTTTCGATCACTGCTTTGGTGTAAATTAAATCTGTTCATCATATAAAGCGATCATATATCTTTATAAGATTTGGATTAAAACGCTTGATTCATATAGATCTATTTTACGATGCCTTTATATGACCTTTTTGGATCTTCTAAGTTTGGGTTATCTGGACTATCAATGGAAGGACAGAAACCTCCCAGGATTCAACAAAAAAATTATCTTAATTTGTGTTTCAAAGATTAACCAAAATCTTTTGGGTTTGGAACAACATCAGAGTGAGTTAATGACAGAATTTGCATTTTTGGGTGAACTATTCCTTTAATAATAGCAGGTAAAACTAGGGCTCATTTTGTTCATAGATCGGATATATGGTGCATAATAAATATAATATTATTATAACATATACAATAATTTCGTCATACTAGATATCATTTATAACATAAGAATAATTATCTGAATTCAATTCACATTTATTTGTATAGCGCTTTTCACAATACACATCGTTTCAGCTTTACAGAAAATGCATATTTTGAGTCCACATTACAAGAGTGATCTGTTTTCAGAGGTAAATGTCTAAGTTATGCATTTCAGAAATGTACATATACAAAAAAATCACAGTTAGCCAAAAATTTATTATTTTTAAACAATGTAATAATTTAAAGCAGAAACAATGAGCTCATTGAAGTAATGAATACTTGTTTATTAATTTAAAAGTATATTTTTTGATTAACATAGTATAATCAAACATTTTGGAAGAGCATACAAATAAACTGGACACATTTTTTAAATTATATCATCATTACATAAAAAGTAGTCTACTCACCGTTCTTTCATCTGCACTAAGCTGCATTTTGGACTCTGGATCCTCTGGCTTCTCGATCAGCTGACCACGGTTCATGGGTTCCAGGACTGCTTCATCCCGAGAGCTGCGCTCTCTCTCATGAAAGAACAGGCTCTTAACGGGCATGGGTAGGAACCAAGGGGCAACAAAAGCTATGCAGGAGGACACCAGTGTGATGACGCTCAAGTAAAAAAGAGGTACCTGGGCTACGGACACCAGAACCTGTCCCATGAGTGAGCCAATGGCCGAGCCCAACAGTGTGACGCTGCGACAAAAACCAGTCACCCTCTGATAATGAGACGGCTCCACAACACTGTAGATATAGGAGTAGTACGCAACTTCAGTGGCAGTGGCCAAACCGAAAAAGAACTCCAATAACTGCATGGCCCGCACACCCTGGGCCTTCATGAGCATAGCATATGTCACTATAAAGCTGGTCGCCTGGAGAATAAGCACAGGCTTGTAGCGAAGGTAATCCGTGGCCAGGAAAACAGGAAAAAGCAGGACAAGGTAGGAATAGGTCCATAATGGATAGATCTCGTTCACAACCTGTGATAAAAGTTAAAGTAGTTAGAAGAGTCAATAATACAGTATTCAACATTTTAAGTTCAAAGTTGTCCTAAGACAAGAACGGGTATTGTTCAAAATTCATGAAAGGTTTTGATCCACTTCAAATGGTGTACTGTAGATAACAGCCTTTATGGTGAAAAAAAAGATTGTTTTAAAATCTAGCTTAAAACACATGTGCCACATTTTAAATTTAACACAAAAAAAAATGTAATGTGGTGTAACCATCAAATAAAAAGTAGTAACATATTTTCTATACACCTTCAATACATGTGAGTGTACACATTTTAATGAAGTAAATTTAAATATTTAAATACAACATAACAGTAACATCTTTTTTTGTGTGTGTTATTTAACAACAGTGTTATTTTGGGGACATTTTACAACCTGAACTAATTCTCTCTATGATATCACTTCCTGTTTTAAGTTTCCAGCATGTTGGTGGCACACCATATGACCTTGATTTGGCAGGTGAGATATAATATATACACTCACCGGCCACTTTATTAGGTACCCCATGCTAGTAACGGGTTGGACCCCCTTTTGCCTTCAGAACTGCCTCAATTCTTCGTGGCATAGATTCAACAAGGTGCTGGAAGCATTCCTCAGGGAGTTTGGTCCATATTGACATGATGGCATCACACAGTTGCCGCAGATATGTTGGCTGCACATCCATGATGCGAATCTCCCGTTCCACCACATCCCAAAGATGCTCTATTGGGTTGAGATCTGGTGACTGTGGAGGCCATTTTAGTACAGTGAACTCATTGTCATGTTCAAGAAACCAATTTGAAATGATTAGAGCTTTGTGACATGGTGGAAGTAGCCATCAGAGGATGGGTACATGGTGGCCATAAAGGGATGGACATGGTCAGAAACAATGCTCAGGTAGGCCGTGGCATTTAAACGATGCCCAATTGGCACTATAAGGGGCCTAAAGTGTGCCAGGAAAACATCCCCCACACCATTACACCACCACCACCAGCCTGCACAGTGGTAACAAGGCATGATGGTTCCATGTTCTCATTCTGTTTACGCCAAATTCTGACTCTAACACCTGAATGTCTCAACAGAAATCGAGACTCATCAGACCAGGCAACATTTTTCCAGTCTTCAACTGTTCAATTTTGGTGAGCTCTTGCAAATTGTAGCCTCTTTTTCCTATTTGTAGTGGAGATGAGTGGTACCCGGTGGAGTCTTCTGCTGTTGTAGCCCATCCGCCTCAAGGTTGTGCGTGTTGTGGCTTCACAAATTCTTTGCTGCATACCTCGGTTGTAACGAGTGGTTATTTCAGTCACTGTTGCCCTTCTATCAGCTCGAACCAGTCTGGCCATTCTCCTCTGACCTCTGGCATCAACAAGGCATTTCCGCCCACAGAACTGCCGCTCACTGGATGTTTTTTCTTTTTCGGACCATTCTCTGTAAACCCTAGAGATGGTTGTGCGTGAAAATCCCAGTAGATTAGCAGTTTCTGAAATACTCAGACCAGCCCTTCTGGCACCAACAATCATGCCACGTTCAAAGTCACTCAAATCACCTTTCTTCCCCATACTGATGCTCGGTTTGAACTGCAGGAGATTGTCTTGACCATGTCTACATGCCTAAATGCACTGAGTTGCCGCCATGTGATTGGCTGCTTAGAAATTAAGTGTTAACGAGCAGTTGGACAGGTGTACCTAATAAAGTGGCCGGTGAGTGTATATACACACACAGAAAGAAACCGATAAAAAAATGGATGCAAGGTCACTAACCTACAATTAGCATTTCTTCAAAAGACACACAAACACTCTCTGAAGCCTAAAAATCTTGTGATGCAGCTTTATTTAATGCAGGATTTTGGTTTTGAAAAGAGATTAAGCTTCTAGGATTAGACAAATAGCAGGCAGATTTCCCATCTAGCTGGTGAGAAAGTTAGCAATATTAATTCTTTTTTTCATTCTCTTTAAAAAGTTCTTTCAAATCGTGCTTAGAGAAGGAAAAAAGCAGAATAGTTAGCCGTGTCAAATTAATGCACGTGTTCACATTTATTAATATTTTACTATGATTTATTGTAATGTATTACACTGCCTGCCTGCATGTGGTGAAATCTTACATCATTCATCGCATGCTTTCATCAACCTACAGCACATTACCTCTGTCTCCGTCAGGTTTTTGTCAGGTCCCATCAAAAACGGTGTTAGAAAAGGCTCCAGTGGTCTGTGGCTGGAGAAAAATCCATAAATGCACAGTAAAACAGTGGGGTAAAGCCATGGTTCAGACATACTCGCCTGCGCCTATTGACCTTAACGCTACAAAGCGACCGATGCAGGGGCATTTTGCAATAACTCTCGCGCACCGGTTTCTTCCTCTTCTTCTTTGTTGTTTAACGGCGGTTGGCATCCAACATTAATGGTGCATTACCGCCACCTAATGTACTGGAGTGTGGGCCCTAATTTGTACTCAATTTTATTTGTTAATGTACCAAATACAGTTACCCAGATCTACTTATTTTTTTTACTTACATTTACTCAGTTCATATGGTATATGTAATTCATTTTATTGCGTTTCAATTTAATAAATATTTTTAAGTGTAAAAATGTTTCACCCAAAAAATTGAGTAAATCATAGTAAAAGTTTTTAGAGTAATAAACAGATTTTATTTTTTTAATCCTCAAAAAAGCATTACAGTAAGCTTTTTCTCTCATCTGCAAAGTTTTAATCAATATCGACTATGGATACAGTGAAAAGGTAATATCACTGAGGCTGGACATTTAACAGGGCTTTGTGAGTGTTGTGGGGTCAGTGAACATTCCACTATAACTTTATTGCAGGAAGTTACAAAAGACAAAAGTTTTTGAAGTGTTGAGCAATAGGGAGTAACACAATCCAACTATTGTCACAGTTCTGTTTTAGTTTGCTATAATATAGTTTGATATAGGGTTGCATTTGTGGGTCATATACGTCATGAAGGTTGCCTCATTTCAGAAAAGTAGAGCTTTACGAAAGGACGTCATATTAGTTGTAATACTCGACTTGTTCTGGATCTTATTGATTATAAAGAAGAAATTGAGTCTGATGCAATTATCCTATTCCTTGATTTTTATAAGGCCTTCGACACTGTAGAGCACCAGTTCCTTATAAGCTCTTTATAGGCTTTTGGATTCCCATCCAATTGTATTAATGTTGTCCAAATGTTGTACAAAGATATTGACAGCTGTATAATTTTAAATTCACGAACATCACCAAGGTTTCCTATTCTTTGCGGAATAAGGTTGCCATTTAAGCCCATTTTTATTTTTATTGTGTAGAAACATTATCCATTGATATTTTGCGCAATAATAACTTTGTTGGTCTTTAACAGAGAGATTCGAATCTCACAATTAGCAGATGATACCACTTTATTTTAAAAGATAAAGAGCAAGTTTCTCCTGTCTTAACTACAAATAATGCTTTCTCTAATGCTTCTGGACTCAAACTTAATTTATCCAAGTGTGAAATTATTTGCTTATTTGACAATGTAGAAACTGAAATTGAAAATATACCAATTAAAAATGAAGTGAAATATTTGAAGTTGTTGGAAACTCAGAAGCGAAGACCAGGAGACTTGGTTGTATCTTCAGCAGGATTCTTTATTGAGAACACGAGCTGTCGGTAGCTGCAGACATCAAGTCTAACTAAAGCAGTATACATTGTAGTTTATATACATTCCAAGGGGGAGGGATTTGAGAGGTGGCATGTAAATTAAGTACATGAGTCAGCTCGTTTACAGAAATTTCCCAGGCCCTGATCTCATCAGCATAGTGTCATTCAAATGCATAGATGCTAATCCAATCAGCCTGACTATTCAACGACTGGGACAGGGCCATTAAAGACATAAGCCGCGTTTCCACCGCAGGAACTTTACCCAGGAACTAGGAACTTTGGCCTGGTACTCGGTGTGTTTACACCGCAGGAACCAGGGTCTAAATGAAGTTCCGGGTAGATATTTCCCCCTCCGAAAGTCCCTGCTCGCGAGGTAGTACTTTTTCAAAGTTCAGGAACTTTCGCGGGTGGGGCTTGTGCGCTGAACATGCTGATTGGTTGTGTTCACGCCGCATTATGATTGGATAACTCCGCGCAGCATTTTATTTTAACCGGAATTTTTAGAATCTATTGCAGTTCGTGGCTTCATGCAGTAATGAAGTTCCATGCAGTAAGAGTTGTCTGTCTGCAAATATGGAATTTAATAAAAATAAAAAAGGCAGCTGGACCGACGACGAGATTCAGGCTTTATTAAGCGTATTTGCGGAAGAGAAATTTTCTGCGCGTTCGTCCCAGCCTTCTCACGGTCAATGTCCGCAATAGCTGATAACATACGCTGTCTAATTTTAGATCTAACGTTAGCATTACGAGCTTTCTGAACACGCTTTAGTATCAGTGCTCGTCTCTTTTCTGCCGTTTTGTTAATTACCTGGTTAGTAAACCAATACATCTCAAACAACTGCAGCACAGTGTGAATCTCTTCCATATTTATTATAAATGTGGCGCTCAAAACTGATTACTGTCTTTTACAGTCTACTGTCCGTCACAAGCAAGCAATGAGCAGTCGCGCGCAGTTTACCCGGTACTTTAGACCGCGATGTAAACGCAGAAAGCTACCGGTCTGGGGCAAAAAAAGTTCCTGGGAAAAAAGTTCCTGGGACAAATTGTTCCGGGCAATTGCGGTGGAAACGCGGCTAAAGGGTGAGAGTTTTAGTAATCTGACTCATTTAACTTACAATAGAGAGAACAGGACTGGCAGGAATATCTTGCTTAACAGCTGATATCATTATCATCATAACCTTAAATGCTAAATTCAGTGTACTCTACCTTAGTTTTTCATGTTACGTTATGTAAGGACATAAAATCAGCAGATCTTAAACAGATTCTTACATTTGTAACCTCACAAAGTGAAATACAGTCGTGCTCAGAATTAATGGCACCCCTGGTAAATATGATCAAAACTGGCTGTAAAAAATAAATCTGCATCGTTTATCCTTTTGATCTTTCATTTAAAAAATTGCCAAAAATCTTGTCACAGTGTCTGGTTTGTGTTTTCCTGGGTAACCACTAGAGGTCCTCATTCCCCACGGTGTCATTCACTCATACTACATTTCCCATCATCCTGTTCTGTTACTCATTGTTCATTGCACACAGCTGTTTCCCGTCACCTTGTTAGTGTCTGTGTATATATACCCTGTCTGTTTCAGTGTTTGTCACAGAGTCCTTGTTTTATGTCACCACACTGCCGATGTCTGTATCTGCCTGGTTCTTATTAGGGATGGGGAAATGAAGCCTCGTGAAGCAATGAGGCTTTCCCCTGACTGTTCCGGGAAAAGATTCAAAGCTTCGAGAGTGTCGAGAACAGCGCCATCTGGTGTTTATTTAAAATAAAGCAGCCAGAAGCCTGTGTTAAAAGCTCAGATGAAGCAACCACTACACACTCCATAATTTCAATGTTATGTGTACAAATAAAAAGCCTTACACGTTTGTGTTTGATTTGTCCATTAATAAATACATTATTTTACCCATTAAAGTGTGGCAATAAAATATAAAATGAGCATATTATTTAATGAGATCTAATGTAGGCCTACTCTCTCTCTCTCTCTCTCTCTCTCTCTCTCTCTCTCTCTCTCTCTCTCTCTCTCTCTCTCTCTCTCTCTCTCTCTCTCTCTCTATACAAACACACAACACACACACACACACACACACACACACACACACACACACACACACACACACACACACACACACACACACACACACACACACACACATATACATATAGTGAATAAGTACATTGTGTGATAGGATCATCTGTTCATCTGACACTTGGCAGTGATAGTGCTTATGTAACTGTAGGAATGACAGAAAGGTGATAAAGATTTTAATTATTCTGTAATGCCAATGTATATAGACGGGGGTAGACATGTTTCTGCATTCTCCAGTATCCAAGTTGATCTTCAGCTCTGTATGTTTGTCTCTGTAAGGTGTTTATCCACTTCTACGATCGCATCAGAAGTGGCATTTGAGCTTTGTCTGTGCTGGTCTACAGCACTTTCCAACAGAAGACAAAGGTTTCCACCTCAGAAGTGTGAGAATTTTTTGTGTTGGGAATTACTGTATGTACATTGACTGAATATAAGACACATCAACGGTCAACAATTATACAATACAATTGTATAATTGTTGACCGTTGATGTGTCAATGATAAAAAATAAAATGATAATAAATAAATAAATATATATATATATATATATATATATATATATATATATATATATATATATATATATATATATATATATATATTTTTTAATGCATTAATTGGAAGCCATAAACTCAAAATATTCCCAGTTAGGGGAAGTCTTCCTTTTTTGGCTGTTGCCATTGCTGTAGCCTAAATACAAACCCTTCACCAAACACCCAAATACCAACACCAAATTACCTAAAAAACACCAAAAGTGCAACAGTCTTACAAAAACAAAAAGACACAACAACAACAACAAAATAATAAGTAGTTTTGGTTATTTAAATGTAATGTATTGATTAACTTTCAAAGTACAGCACTCTCCTCACAAACCCATCAACCAGACTGAGCCAACAAGGACTCGTTTAGTAAGATCTGGGGTCGAGCGTTCGAGCGTTCGAGCCTTCTGACGCCCAAAGCGAAACGCGCACGTGATTGGACAGAAAGTGAGGCTTCGTTTGTCATCGATCACGTGACCTCTGGGAAACCAATACACACTCCGATACGGGGCTTCACTAGAAATTGCTTCGCTTTCGCGATACGCACATCGAAGCTTCAGTGTCATACGTAACATCACTAGTTCTTATTTGTTTCTTGTGTTTTGGATTGCCTTGTTGGATTTTTGACCTTTGCCTGGACTGGTTGTGAGTACGGATTACCCAAATAAATAACTGCACTTGGATCTGTCTTTTCCCGTGTGTGTGCATTGTGACAGAAGGACTCTGTCACAGAAAAAGGATCCAACAGTATGGGTTCCCGTATCCTTCCCCCCACTACGAAGAGGGAGAAGAGACAGCAGGGGCGAGGACCGTCATCTGGTGAGTCAGAGCCTTGGATGACGCTGTTTGATTGCTTCGCGCTGTGGGCCCGGGGGATTGAGGAGACCATGGCGGCCGGCTCCATTGAACCCTCTTTCGTCGGCACAGCAGACGCCTGGTCAGCCAACACCTTTGCCCATGGACGTTCTGTTGAGGGAACCCGTCTGGCCAGGTTTCCCGGAACCTGTGGAGGCCGCAGGGGAGGAGGTGGTCGAGATGGACCCCGACACCATTCTCTGCTTTGGTCCCTCTTCGACCCTGGACCGTTGATGTCCAGCCCAGAGCTT